CAAGCGTTCAACACAATACCTAAATATGTATAAAATTAGACTACTACTTACTTAGTGACTGACTTATAATCTTATTCTGAATATAGCTTTTTGTCAACATAAGTACAAAAAACGTGTCTTATAAAGGAACTATACCATACACTTTTAATAATTCAATACTGGGCTAGCATCACATTTGTAAAAATAAACTTCAAATATCAATGGGAAAAGACTGGAAAAGACCTAAATTCAAAAACCGAGAGAAATTTCAATCAAATTATCAGCATGTAGTCATAGACAGTTGTGAAGTGGATTGGTGAACTGAAATCTCAAAAAAATGACGTGTGTAATCCACTTCATTTAGATTGCTATTATTGACTGAATGTAAGTTATTACATCATCAATAGAAAGGTATCTTCATAGTGTAACTATGCTAGGAGTTCTAAAAGTTATTTAGTGCATGATGTGAATTAAAATACTTTTGTAATAGTCATTTTACGATTTACTTTAACTTTGATGTACCATGTGTTTTGGTTTTGAAGAACTTGTCGATAGTTTATTCTGTTGCATGAAGTAATCTATTAGGTACTACATTTTAGTTTGATACTTGCAACATAGTTTGCCACGATTTCCTATCAATAGTGGCTACCATTGTAGTAATTTTTGGCAGATAGCCTGATGCATCAGGTAGATATGCTATATAAATATCAGTGACATGGATAGAGATAAAAGCATATTTTTAAAAGATCACTCTTACAATTTAACTGCTTATTAAGCAAAACATATGGCACACGGTATTAAATTTAAATTCATTAGTAAGTCAGTTCCTCGTGAACACTGATTCAAGCAACCACTTTGTTATGAATGCTTCATTGTACGGTGAAGAGATTAACACATATAACATTTGGAACCGACTGAGCTTAGATCCAAGGAAAAACTGCAAATATACGCTATAACACTTTCGGTAATCGATAGTTTTACGGCAGAATGTAGTGCTTATGCAGCTTTAGTAAATAGTGTTCCAAATAAAATACAAGAGTGTCGTAGAACAAATTTCGACTGGTTTGTCCAAGTTAGAGGGCATAAAGCAATCATACAACTTGTTTGAAATGAATGTGATCTTTGATAAATACTAATCCAAGTCATTTAAACTGATTTCTGTTTGTGCTTAGCTATAGCAGTTGGAAAATTCTGTACGCTACAATTACCACTTGTTTTACTGCTTTTTATCTATGAAGAACTAAATTAAAAACGGTCTTCCATAAATTTCTTAACCTATCGATGTCATAATGAGGTTTATTGATATATGTACCTTTAAACTATATAAATTTTCCATTATTTATTGAGAGTATACAAATAATTTGTCTAAATCCGTTTATCATAGAAGTTGTTGAACTAGTTGGAAATGCCGTTTCTCAGTAAAAGTCACTGCACTATGGAGCACAGAGCTCACTTCATGGTTTTGTGTGTCATCAGGGTATCCAGAAATTAAACGCATATTTATTTCTCTAAAATAGTAAATTTTCAACGAATTCACCTCTCGTAGTCGTCAGCCAAATAACTTGGTGGTATCACAGATAGATGCGAAATTGAAGAAGATTTGTCACTGTAGCGCGATACAGATTGCTATCAACTGATTTAGTAGAGAGATGTAAAAAATAAAACCAATGTTCGTAATAACGTTTTATCTTCTTTCAATTGGAAGAATGCTGGATTTATAATTGAGTAAAGTTCATCGGCTACTGAACAGATTGATATGTAGTAACGAAATGTCTGAGACAATATATCCAGTTGACTTCCTATTACTTTATCAATCTGTGTGAGGAAGGATTTAGTCTGGAGGAAAATTTTCAATATTATTCTTATGCTTCAGATGACTCCAGTATGTGTTGGAAATCTAATTTATCCTCCACTAAAGTAAGGGTCATAGTTCGATGGTCACCACTTATAGTGTAATTATCAAACAAATTAACAAACTTCTTGAAACTAAATGTTGACACATTACTGATGCTGCAATTTACAAGAATCTTGTTCTTACACAACAAAATAGTTAAATAACAACCAACAGTCTGTTAAATTCCTACTTAAGCGACTCTTCATTAGGTCAGAATGTGATGCAAATGTGACTAATATGTACTTTATTTAAAAAAATGTTAATTGCAGGATAAGTAGTGGAATAGAAAATTAACTAAATGTTCCATTATTACACACAACATAAAATGAACACATTAAAAAGGCACAAATATTTGAACAAAGTTTGTATCCCGACTGAAAGTAATTGATCGGTTAAAAGGGTTTGATGTTTGGACAGGTGTTAGTCCAGTTTGCCATTAGAAGTTCATTTGCATAAATTGCGTTGATGCATACTATAGGAGATGTATATGAAAACAAACAAGATCGAACGGTGGTCAATCAGTCGATAAACTCACTTTTCAAACTTCAAATCAAGTATCATTCTTAATAGACATATTTTGAATGTTAATAATAGAACTATAAACAAACTTCGATGTATTCACGAATGCGTGTTATATCCACGGTATAACCAAACATGTATGTAACAGAAATCTGACAATCCGCTCTAATACTTTCAATAATAATCTCTCTTATTTAAACAATACTAGATAGTAGAACGAGGTCAAATTAGTATACAATGAGTAAAACCTTATAACCATGCAAACGGTGGGATCAGTCAATAGAAATAAACCAATTCAGATTAAAATTTTGTAGTTTATCTGTGTGCACCTCAGTAAAATAATATCAATAAAGTGTTGACATCTTCATTTGAGCATTAAATGACAACGACTAAGTTATGCTCTATCAAGAACTAATAAAGTTACTATTTAACGACAACCGTGTGAATAACAGATCATTCACTCACAGGAAAAGAAACTATCTTAGAATTAAACATCACACATAATGTTATTGTTATCTAGTGCATATCACAAGAGATATGTGTTCAGTTGGAATTGTCATGACTCTCAACCTTGAAGAAATACTGCGTACTCTTAGGTTTTGATGCACACTTTCACGTGGGATAACAGAAATCATGTTTGAAAATCTGGTTACTACTATACATTACTTACCATTCCATTGTTCAGCCACTCGCATCTTGCAAAATGACTCAAACAATGTATTGTCAATTGAACCAGTCAATGAAATCCATGGTATGACACTTGCTGTGATGATTTCAGTTGACGTGTTCAAAGTTCTTTGATACATGAATGGGTTGATTGATATCCATGTTTTTCCCAAATCCTTACTCATTATTACACCTCCACCATTTGCTCCCAAACCGAACAATATGCCAAGTGGATTTGTGTATGCTATAATCTGTTCAACAAATGGTCCGACATCTGAGAATCGAACAGAAATCGGTCGACATAAATTTATGACATTATTTTGTCAAAATAAGCCTCAACAACATTTTCGATGAGCAAACGTTCTTTGTAACTATGTATTTATATGAATCTGCACAACGGTCATTCTAAAATACTAAACGCTTTTAGTTATGACTTATTAACATACTTTATTTGTCCTAGACTAACAACAAATTCTCTTATGACAATATGTGTCAGTTCAAGTGGTCATGTATAATTTAAAATAAAGTATGAAGAGAATGAACTGTAAATCCTTTTTCCAAGTACAAAGTCTGCCATAATCAGCTTGTGGTGTTGGACTTTAATGTAAAACATTTGTTTTCCTTAGTTATGATGATGTTTGATTTTCTACATTATGTCTTTTAAACTGACTTAGATGTTAAGTCAACAGATTCATGAATGATCATTTTGAATAATCGTTATTCTATTAATTCACAATCTAGTATCAATCGACTAAAGTTGGTTAGCACATCATGAATGTGATAAAAATAGGCCAATAAGTAGAATCGAACAGAGGTGGTACTTGATACTTTCCTGTTACAAAGTAGTAAACTCTGAATATCAAAACGTTGATTATTCTGTAGAAATTATTATGTTTGTCGATTAATCTAGATCTTAGTTATGTGGTGTGGACTACTGAAGTCGACAGATGTAAATAGCATGTGTCATCAATCGAAAGTGAAATGTCTGGTGGTAGAGATTTAAGATCGAAGAAAAGATAACAAGAGTGGGGAATGATTGTTATGGAAACGAAGGAACAATCAAGTATGAGACGATTGATTGACATTTTGCAAATGAAGTGTTTATTTCATGGTTTTCAGATTTTACTATGACATTCTGTAATTTTGTATTGTAATGCATTTGATTGTGCCCACTGGTGTTCTCGTTCTCTACAGTTGGACTAAATCGGTTTGCATTGGAGTATATTCAGTATTGATTTAAACATATGTTTACTTGTTATTGGAATTTCTGTGGTTTTATAAAATTGAGGATTGTATTGTTTGTAATTAAAATAAACGATAACTTTAATAAACATCCAATTAACTTTGCGATTCGGGTGACTGAATGTTTTCAACAGTGTGTTGCTGAAACGGATGAAAGACTCAGTAGACGTCCAACTTCGAGATCAACAGACTGGATTCCGTAAGGATCGGTCGTGCACAAACCAAATCACCTTTCGTGACTATGAGAAGTCGTATGATAGTGCGGATAGTAGAACCATATGGAAACATTATTGACTCTATGGTTAACCTGACAAGATTGTCAATATCACATGGAAATCATGCGACGGACTATAGTGCATATTGGTTCACGTATGACAACTGACAGATGCATCAGAAGTGAGGACCGGAGTCAGACATTGATGCATACTCTCCCCTTCCTCTTTCTTCTGGTGGTTGACTAGATTATGATCACCTCGACATCTGAGGGGAAGCACGGAATATAATGGACAATTTGCATGCAACTAGACGATTTGTGCTTCACACATGACCTAACTCTTCTATCACATACACATCAATAAATGCAGATGAAAACAGCCAGTGTTGCTGCAGCCTCTGCATTAGTAGGCTTCAACATACACAAGGGAAAAACCAAGATCCCCAAACACAACACAGAGAACACCAGCCCAATCGCACTTGATGAAAAGAAGGTCTGGAGGTGGTGGAAACTTTCACGTACCTGTGGTGTATCTTCGATGAACATGGAGTATCAGATGCAGATGTAAAGTGAGGATTGGCAAAGCAAGGATAACATTCCTTCAATTGAATAACATATGCAACTCGAAACAACTCTCAACCAATATCAAAGACACAATCTTCGATACAAATGTCAATACAGTTAGTTCTATTGTACGGAGCTGAAACTTGGAGGACTACTACAAGCATCATCAAAAGAGTGCAATTATTTATAAACAATTGTCTACGCGAGGTACACAATTTCTGTTGGCTGGACACCATCAGCAACAATCCACTGTGGAAGAGAACAAACCAATTTTCAATTGAAGAGGAAATTATGAAACGACGATGGAAGTGGATAGTACAGTGATTGAGGAAATCATCAGACTGCATCACAAGGTAAGCTGTAATTTGGAATCCAGAGGGCAAGCGGAAAGGAGAAAGACCAAAGAATCCACTATGTCGGCAATCGGAAGCGAAGATGAAAAGAATGAATAGCAACTAAAAAAAGTTGGGAAGGATTGTCCAGGACAGAGTGGATGGAGAATGCTGGTGGGTGGCCTGTTCTCCTACACTAGGTGTAACAAGCGTAAGTATGTAGTATTAAACTTCAAATATCCACTGTTGAATAATAAAACACAACAGATTGTGTATGATTACTTACCAAACCAAATTCTTTCAGGCAATTTACTAATCTTGAAACAACGTCTCACCAAATCTAATGAACCTTTTATGCTAAACGCACGGGCACAATAAAACAAAAGATCACCAACATTTAGAAATGTGTTTGCTTGACGGTCGGGTAACTGTACCAGAGAGTTCCGCATTGCAACGTAATGAGGTAAGTTGGACGGATCTGAATGCAAACGGTCAATACAAGGCAAAGTGTTATTAAATAACGCATCACACAGTCACTGAGAATTATTTTAATTATCCCAAAAATCAATAAAAGGATAGAGAATTCTTTCACAGTAATGTGATGTGATTGTAGATAAGTGACCAATGACAAACATTCTATATCGTTATGGTTGATAATATTCGGGATCTTTTTAATAGGTGAGTGTAAGAGAACTGTATGTAGTTACAGTGCAAACATCTTTAGTTGATGCTTCTCAACAGGAAGATGAGTGTTATTCTTTTCATCTTTTCTTTGTGATTGTACTTTACTAGCAGTTTTGTATAATGTAATGAACTATCAATATGGAAAGCCTCCAAATGATTGATAACTCTATATGCGGACTAACTCATCTTTTCGCTGAAAGCAATTAACAAGCACCTCACATTTTGAGAATGATTATGATTTCAGTAGCATGAGAAAAATTCAGTAAATTATGATGGCTTGCAAAGTTGTATTTGTATGTGTGAATACTTGGTGACAGTATGATAACTCGTATGCAATGCAAAGATTGAAATCGTTTTCACAACAGCGGAAATGTTAACGATGATAAGTAGAAAGCGATTTATCTGCAGAAGACATTTTTCATTTAAGATAACGTATCCGACATGCAGAGTAAACTTATTTCCTATAATGCAGTCATACCTTGGTAGGTAGTGTTGATTTCTAATCATAAGATGAATTTGGAAAATCATACACTGATAGAACTCACAAGTGTAGTCAAGTTCAACACGCAGATGAGATTTGAACCTGTAAAACTTCTGTCTTGCGCAGCTATTCACTACGGGACTACCACGTTCATAGGGTTTGCACACAATTTCGACCAGAACTGGATATTTCACAATGGTTGTGCTAAGAGATGGATTAAATTTCAGACTAAAGATGACTGCATACTTCGCACCAAAATATAAACGTCCTGCCTGAAACGAGAAAAAATATCCTCAAGTGTTGTTCCAGAGCAAGAGTTGATATATGTTTGAAATTGATGTTTCATTTTGTAATATGAGGCGATTTCAAATTATGACTAACGTGGGCGTAAAAATCTATTGTAATTTACCTCCTCTATGTTTGGTCAACGGAATTGTACAAACTTTGAAAGTTTCATTAGTACTGTAAACGACAGTGAATGCAGATATCAGATCGATCTCGTGCTCTCGGTTCAGTAAATGAAGTAATGTTTCGACGGATTTGAATGAGTTTGGATGTTTGACGAGAAATACTGAAAATATTTCACAGTAGAAACTTAAAATTTGAAATGACCGTAGTGGTTAAATAGATTTCCCTCGAGTCGGAACTATATGCAACAATTAATGGTAAACAGATATGAAACATGGAAGTGAGGTGTTTTATCTGTCTCCTGTAATACCTACACAGATACAACCTTTGTTTTAGAAAGGTATTCCAGAGTGATATTTCAATTTTAAAATCGAAATCGAAAATGTTTGACTATGACCTAGAAAGTGGTAGAAGAAATATTAGTTTTATGTAGCGATGCGGTTAATCAATGAAATCAAATCAAATCAAATCAAATCATGAAGTGTCCTTAGAATACTTTAGTGATATTGCGGAACGAAGATTACAAACCATTTATGGATAATAGAAACTTTACGATTCAGTTGACTGAACGTTCGCTAGATCATTTTGTATTTGGTTAACAGACCGAATGTATGGAAGTTATCCTTTACGTATTTAATGTTCAATAACTATGACGTATACAGCATTTCCTAGTACCTTCTAGTTCATTTACTGAGTGGAGTGCTATGTAGAAGAATGTAATTTTGATTGTAAATTTTATTTCAAGCATTAGATTTCAACGAGTTTGTGTTTTCCATCCGGTATGTCGTGATGCGCATCACTAACATATTCATAGGAGAATGCTGATGTTGACCAAGTACAAGTTGATCGCTAAAACGTTGTAATATACCTGATGGAAACAAGTAGTAATTGGTTGGTGAGTTAATATAGCAATGTTTCATTATAATGAATTAAAGTGATTATATTGTGTTATAAAATGATTTCTACAGAAGACGTTTACTATAATTTCACTCCATCTTAATTGATATAACGGATTAATTCATTTTGGATTATTTTTTTGAATCTTTCCATTGTAGTTTAGGACTGCACTTGATCAGTCTCTTATTGACATGCGTACATCCTGTGAGGATAGTTTCAATATTGCCTTAAGTCACAAGCATTATAATCAGAGGTGGATGGTGGCTAGCAGTGAAATCCAAGACGCGCGTTTCGTCCTATTTGGGACTCGTCCTCGACTGCACTGCTAGTCACCATCCAACTTTGCTGATATAATGGATCGTTTAAAATGTTCTTTTCTCTCTCATGTATACTACAATAATATAACTAGCCACACTACACCAGAACCAGGATTGACGACGCAGAATAGGAAACCAGAATAACACTAGATAATACCTCATTCGATACAATTGTAAACAGTAACACCCAGTGAATCAGGAGTAGAAATCAATAAGATGGAAAGAATTCACATATAAAAAGGATTTAGCGAAATAAATTTTCCTTTCCACCAAATCATTTACTCAAACTACACATTCGTATTAATAGTTATGTTGCAAATATATGTCTATAGAAGGATAGAAAAGATTGCATCATAAAGTGATTCGAGATTCTAAATATCAAATGCAGTTGTGTATAACATTGTCGACTATTCAGTTACATGCATTATTACTTGGTCCTCAATTTTGTAGTACGTCAACTATTACTAATGAACTCAATATGTAATCACGATACCTATAACTAGACGACCACCCCCATAAAGAACATAAGTCTCAATTATTTCGTCTTCCGAAAAACCAAGATTTAGTGCTGTGCCACCCAGATAAGGTTGCAGGAATTTTCCTTGTGCATCTTCAGCACTATATCACCAAATTCCCCATGACGCTACTGAGAAAACGCAACAGATGTTAAGTAAATTCCTAAGGGAGATGAAGACGAGTTTATTATCAATTGTGACCTCTATGAACATCTTAGACCATCATGTTCCACTAAACAGAGACCATACGTACTTCCAAAAGTTCAGAAGAAGAACATTTACTTATGTTCCATACTTGATATGAATAACACTCCGTATCATTTGTTTGCTAAATGGTTTGCTGAAATTTCACAACACGTCAGAAATCACATCAATAGATACGACGCTGATGATTCGTTTGATTTTGTCGATTCAGAAACATCATTGTAAGTGGCGGAGAAATGATCTCATTGCATGTCAGTTCTCTCTTTACAAATGTTCCACTCACAGAAACTATGTGGTTTTTATGTGACGATATTGAAATAACAACATTGATATTAGTCTCCTAAAACATTATCAAAAGAGCTATCTCTACAATGTACCCTCAATGTGAGGGTGATTTTTAATTGTAATACTAATAAGCACATCCTAGATCATGCAGAATCCTCATTCAATACACAATCAGATAGGCACATGATGAACTGAAGGAAAAGTGCAATCGATTACACATATTTAGATTCCCATTTAAGCTGTGGTGGTTGTGGTATTGGTACAAACTAATGATTGCTTTGTACTTGATTGCGATCTGATCACGAATCCCAAATCTAGTGTGTTCCCTTGGCTCAGCTTGTTCGACTTGAGTTAAATTGCACTATTTCAGGAGTTCTTAGTTAGCACATAAATTCGAATACTTCAGATTACCATATACTTTCATGATATGTGAAGAAAAATGGACCCCAATGAAATTTCGGATTGGTTCAATAGTTGTCATTACTCAATTTAATTCACGTTGGAAACAGAGGCGAATGAGGAATTTCATTTTCTTGATGTCCCGTTGAAAAGAAGTTCATATGGTTCTTTGCACAGATCTATATATAAAAATTGACCTGGAATGGTTGGTATACGAATTTCCATAGTTGGATCCTATTGAGTGGAAAAAGAAACTTGATTCACTCTTTATCCTCATGCCTAGGGGAATGTTCTAATGATGAAGCAGATGACGAACTACTTGAACTTTAACAGACATTCATCTGAAATGATTATCCACCAAGATTAGTAGATAGGAACTTAACATCGAGGCATCCTAAAAACAGCACCGACAGTTCAAAAGAAAACTCTTTTTAAGTATATCGAATTTAAAGGAGATAAGTCTTCCGAAATCTTTAATATACGCATTTCAAAATCCCTGGATAAAACCTATTCGAATAAGCTCTGTTTTGTCTTCTCAAGCCGGCCTACCATTCACAAATGTGATATGGATGAACTTCCGCTTTTGTCCATGTTGACGTGCATCTATAAATGTACTTGTTCCTGTGGAGCAGGTTTTATTGGCCGCATAAAGCGACCGCTTTCTAAACGCATCTCAGAACAATACCTGGCCTGGCTTGTAAAGGGAGGATGCGAAACAGTTACCAGTCCGATACAGGAACACTTAGTAATCAAACGAACTGGATCGAAAGAAGGCTGAGTCAAAAACTTATTCACTGCTGAGGCGTTGGCAATCCACAAATCCGAGTTTGAACTCTACGTGCAAAAACGACACTTTCACCCACTTATTCTACTTGGCTCTAATTCCCTTGTGTGGTATGCTTTGATCTTTCTTTACTTTCTTAAATTATTCTTTTTCAGTTTCAAACCGTAATCAGTTATAAGCAGTGATGATGATGGTTAACATTGGGAGACAGGACGCGCGTTCCACCCTATTTGGGACTGGTCAGCTTGATGTACGTGCATCCCGGTTTTTATTATTATTACTATTCAGTTATTATTATGACTATTATATTTACCATTTTTATTCATATCTGTAAAGAGGACGATTATCTTTCATAATTCCGATCTGTAAATTATTCTCGTCCCTCTATTCTTCTCTAACCCTCTGATTATTACGCAACCTCATTCGATATTTGGAGTTTCGAATAATTTTATGGTGAGCAAACCATTTGGCTCAGACAATAAAACTCTACCAGAATGATTTGCCTGAGCTACAAATCGTTTCCACAATCTCAAATCTTTTTTATCCTACAGACATATAATTAAGATACATTTATAAATGTGAATGTATAACTTAAGTAAGTGATTTCGTGAAAAAGAAAATTCCTTTCGCTGAATCCTCGTATGTTTATGCAATGACAATGAATTGTTTGAAGAAATCACATATTTAATAGTCAGTAGGCTATGCCTACTTGTCTGTCCACACTCAACAACCAATCGTTCTTCAATTCCACTACTAAATATCATTAAATTATTGTGTGGTTCATATTTGGTTCTTAATCGTTTTCCGCATATTGAGTGACTGAGGCGCTTGATGTAGTACTGTGATCCATCCACCTGGCGTAGTCTATTATCAATTTGTCACGTTCAACTGGTCAATTGTCGTATAACTCGATATCAAATATAATACCGAAGAAAATCACTCGTTTCTGTTAGATCATTATGTACAATTATCAGATGGATCACTTAAACCTGTAAAGCCAAAATGTCTATTTCTCAATATTACCAGTTATTTTTTCTTCAAATAATATGATTATGTTAACGGTTTTAGACTAGTTAATGAGCATTTAATTTACAATCAGAAAATCAATTCAATCCGTTTAAATGCTTCGACTAAATTTCCAGTGAGTTAAATTGAATAACATTGTTTTCAAAATATGTCTTGAAACACAGAAACTTACTATGAACTGAACTGATTTAGTTACTGGGTTTAAAGGAGTTTTCAATGTTACATTATCTATGTCCCCTGTTTGATTAACTACACTGATTGATTTTATTTGTGGACTGAGATAGAAAATTATCGATTGTCTTTCACATTCCAATCCGGTACCATTCATCATTTGAACGGTTGTCTGAAGATACACCACATCTCTGAGTATTGGATTAAACAAAATGTATAATATGTAGAGAGTTATTTCATATCAATCAGTAACATGGTTCGAATTTTGATGATTCAATTCAAATAGCATTTGGATTTGATGTTTGCTTTTACAAGCTTTCCAATCTACTTTGTTAGGATTAACTGATTACTATCAGCAGAGAAATAGCAAGAATATTTATAACTTTGCATTTACTTACATTTCAGTATGTAGATGTTTTAAGCACAGCGTAGACGTGTGTGTCACCGATAGGGTGAAATTATTAGAATTTTGCACAACAATACGACTTTTTTACTACTAACGTAATTATATTATGTCCAGTATTGTCAGAAATCTTGAAAATGTTATAATGAATTATTTTTCTTAAATTCGAAGAGAATTATTTTTGATGTTGATGCAAACGAGTGGGTAGTTCCATCAGTTAAATGTTCTCAGCTGATTGTTTACTGTGTATCAGAAATATATACCATAGTTGGTTCATCAGAAAACATGATGACATTAGGTCAGTTTGTTGAAATTAAATCAAGTTAGGTAACTGTTGGAGGTATCACGGAGAAAAATGTCAAATTTCTGCTTTCTTCATTACTCCATTTTTTCACTTTTAAGTGAACGGTAATAAATAATAAGCAATAATGGTTTGATGAGAGGCTTTAGAAACAGCTATATCACCTTCCATGCTTAAATATTGTCTTCGACATATCGACAGATTTAAAAAAAGTCAAAATGTTTTGTGTTGAGATAAGTGGAAGATAATTCAGATAAGATTGTCACCGGTTTTTGAATACTTTTACTAGCGAAGCTGATTTAAGCTTAATAGTTATGATTTACTTCATAGTGACAGGATAGAAAATACTTAGTCATGTTCCTGTTCACGAGACTGACAACAAGTTTTTTAGAAAAATAAAAATACTGGCTCAAATGTTTTCCTCAAAACACACTTATTAAACACAGACACATATCTGAAATAAAATGCTATAATTTACAGCTCAGTGCAGTATTTACCCACGCTCCTCATGTTTGATAAATGAAAAGATAGACACTATTTTGGAAACTGACTTATCATGAGTCAGCTAGTGGGATTATATGATTTCGTTTCTACATGCGTTATTTGAGTCTAGTACAAGTTTATATTTCTGACTTTGTGTCTGAGACTTGTTAGAGATAAACAGGATACGCAGTGACGGTGTTTGACCTATAGATTTGAAATTTATAACTCCAATGAGTAATCTGTACTACAACTCAACAGCCACATCTGTTTAAGATACCTATTGTATGTTTAAACTGTGTTTCATCTGATGGATGCCTAAACGAGTTGTGTGTCTGGTTTCAAGGTGTTATGAGTTAGGTTTTCAAGGAAATTCAACACCGAGATTATTAACATTGAATGTTATGCATTAATAACGAGGTTTGAAACCAATTTATGAAATAAATGAAACTAATTCATTCGGTCACTTGAATTCGGGCGTGATATTTGTATTGCTTGGTGGATAGCACAAAGATCTTCAAACTCTTTGTTCAAGACCAAAGTTTGTACTCTTCATGCGAGTAGTCATAAGCCTAATCGTTGATATGGAACATTATTATGTTCATTTGAACACTATCTGATCAATATAATAATTGTTTTATGTGAAACTGATATTCAAGTGAAAAATGAATTCGCGTTGGAAGTGAGCCAATTATTCCATTAAATAAATACACACTAAAGGTTAAAACGATTTAAACATACCTATCAGGATAATCACTGAGTGTGAACGATGACAATTGAGATAGTACAACCTGAATTGATGGTTTTTCTGACCCTGTTCTTACACAAATCACAGATATTTTGCTAATATTAGTGACAGCATTGAATCGACCAGTGATTTGCAACGGCCAAACAGTCCCGTTTTCTACAATTTTACTATCACTCAACTGGATATCCACTGAAAGACTGAGAGTGTTTCGCATTAGGGGTACACTTACCGTACCTAAAAATGTCGATAATTTTTATTAGATAGTGCATTGAAAAAGACCCTGAATCATTTATTCACTCTGAATTAACAGCTAGTGTTTTAAATATCAGGACTAAATTGGTTAGGTGCTAATCGAGAACAATAAAATTCAAAACGATACTGTCAAATAGTGAATCAAGTAGTTAGTTACAAAATATTGGAAAATGATGACACAACAAATCAATTTATTTTATTCCATTTCACATAATGGCAATGATTCTGCTTGCATTTTCATGAAATATTTTGGTTACTGTTTGTTAATGACCTTCATTGTAGAACATTTTCATTGTTTACACACACAAAGAATTTATTTCGCTGTCTTCGTTACTGTAATGTAAAGTTCAGCCATGTGGTGTGTAACTCGATTATTTCAGCTGAGATGTATTTTTTTTATATAAAGTTGAGCCATATCCATGAATGCCTAACATCATTCTTCTGATTGGAGAGAAAATAAAGGACAGTATTTAGTTTACTGGTTATCTAGTGTTTATTAGTTAAAACAGATAAAAGCCAGATTTTTTTGACTGTGAGGTAGGCTATTGAAAATTACTGGATGCAATGAAGATCAAATTTTCAAGGAAAGCAGTAAGCTGTTGATAGTGTTTTTGTCAAATTTTATTCCAAAGTACTTCAACTTATTTCACTGTTTTAATTCATGAGTTTCAGTTATATTTTTAAAAGATATTTTCTTGCCTAACTTTGATCTTGTACACTAGTGTGGTGAATGCTACTTATGTCTGTTGACATAAGTAGTGTGTAACACCAATCAGAAGTGGAATGACTGATAGCAGAAGGTTGAGAATATCGAATTGAAGGGAATGAGAATGTAAACAGAGAGTAATTGTAATAGCAATGAAGGAACGATGGAGTTTGTTCACTACACTAGTAATATTGAATACCACTTAAATTCTAGACTTTCGTTGTAAAGATAATTCAGTCTTGAACTGGTAAGTAAAATATCATACACCTATTCTCATATGTCATCTAAAGTAATATTCTGGTAAAATATTCGATCTGCAAAAGAAGTTGCATAACACTATCCGTTAAGCATGAACTCATCTAGAATGAACATATCTTGCTCAATTTGACAACTGTGAAACTTAAGATATTTGATGAATTAAGAAACATATCTATAATATTTAATTGTTTTAGTGTAAGTAATGACAGATACCCTAGAAATAGTCATATATGAACTGATGAACTGTAATTTTTCACTAAACTCACCAATGTTTGTGATATTTTCGAAGTATATTACCAACTGATCATTTTGATCGGTTGGATAAGTTGACAAATAATTAGATGAGTAAGCAGTTGTTGTGTAAAATAAGTTCGAACCCAAAGTTATTTTAAAATCTGCAATAGTTATTATAGATTCATTAGTGTTGTTGCTTCCAGTTCCACTGATTTGTACTACAGATTTCAGATACGTGGAGTTCAGTGGGAATATATATTTCACATTGATAGTTGTTCTTTGACCTGGCTGCAGCGTTACAGTAGATGGACTTACTTCAATCATAATCTGAAATGAAATATTCTAAGCTTTAATCTAACAAAACTGGTTGACTGCTATTTAAGATACAAGTGTTGATTGTAGTAAAAAGACGATTTCAAAATGACGACTATTTGTCTAATGTTCCTCACAGAAGTTTTAATGAAACAACGTGTTTAACTATACCACGGTTGAAATACAGTGGTTCAACTACGAAACTAATATAATTAGACAACTGATGATGTTAAGAATGTATTGAGCCTATATAAATATAATTCATGTACGTATTCAGAGGTGTAGATGTATACGCGGATGGCGACAAACTTGAAATGAACGTTTTTAATGCAAAATCCACTGATCACAGGTTTCCGACCGTTGCATCGGATATCAGATACAAACTTAAAGTATTATGTGATTTTTCTGGTTTCTTCAATACCTCAACCTCGACGTACGTATAGATATTTAATTTCAAATATTATCAATGTATTTAAGACGAATAATTTGAAATGACAACCCTAGTCTATCTGCTGAAATTTCGAATTCATGATCTTAACCATCAACCAATTAATGTAGTTTGAATGCGATAGTTTATCGTGAAATTTTATAGTAATTTATCAGTTTTATGTTGAAAAGTTTACTTTGATTGCTTTGCTTATATTTTGGGTAATCGAGTAGTAATATATGCGTTCTCTACTCAGTTGATATTATTTTGCCAGTTATTATGGGCTTCATTCCCATTTTACTGTTTAACATGATATACAGTCATTGTTCTATACTTCACAGCCTATGTTATGGTCAATTAGTTCAATCAATTTCTGTTAATATAGAATTACCATTCATAAGTTTTATTTAATGGATGATCTTACATATTCTATGCATTTGTTTATTATGTAGCTTAAATTCTATCTTAGATGATCGTAAAATATCACTGGAAACTTCATTGATTGAGACGAGTATTCTTTGAAAAATTAGTCTAATACACACTAAAATACAAGTGACTTGTCATCCTGATCAATTGGAATACCTTAAATAAAGATTGAAATAGACACATTGTCTCTGTTCATTTTGAATGTGAACAACAAACAGAAAACTGAACAAGATCGTTTTCAATTGGTTCGTCATCAAACTTAGTTGTAGTATGCAGTTCTATTTATATGAAAGTTAATTCAGATGAAAATCTAATTGTAAACAACATTGTGCGTATTTATTTATTATCTATAACTTCAGGACTAAATATCATTAAAATGTAAAGCTGACAAATGATCTAAATTCAGTCTATGACAAAGAATGTCAACGTTTTAAATGACCATGTAATTACTGAAGATACCTAGGAGTGCACAGAGTCAACAGGATCAACAATACCATAAATATATGTTCTGCTTAAAGTACACAAACATGCACTACCCTACTATCCCATTACTACTCTATAGCAAAAAAACTCATAAGAAAATATATGTGTATACATTCCCTAAATGACACTCCCGAATTTATTGATTACATAAAAGAAGTGAATGTAAATGGCCAACTCAGTAGGAAATTCATCGCAACAACTTTGTGACTAGTGTTCTCTCACCGACCAATGTTCAGTAACAATCTCAAAGATAAATTATCACATTCGACTAATCCCATTTCTCTCTATCAATTTACCTGTTTATGTGGAGCCAGATATTTGAGTAGTCCGATGAGTATTCACTCAAAAGAATCAAGAACACTGTGTTAAAAGAGGCGAGAATGGCTTAATAAGAAGCTCAACAATTGAACACCCTGTGAACACAGGTCATTCAATGCAAATTGACTCTGCTTTCAAAATTATTTGCAAGTAAGTGGAAAGCTGTCCGAGGCAGTTATATTGGCATTGCAGAGACATCTGCTGTGTATGTGTGTGTACCATGACCTTAATCTCTTGTGACGTTTTCTTCGTTCCTTCTTTCATGATCATCTACTTCACTTCTATCTTCACTACAGACCCTTCAGTTCTTCTGTTACTATGATCCTACTAAATACAATTCATCACAATTTCAGCATTTTATCTTATCACGCTGAGCATCCACTTTCTAATTATAATTTCTTTATCTTTCTTCATGATGAATATTCAAGGTCTCATCAACAATATTATTAGTATTTTCTTTAGTAAAATGCATTCATTTTACCTCACTGATACCACGTTCGGCAAAATTTTATTATCACTAATAATGTACTTATGATCACTTTGAAAAATAAGTAAATGTTTACGGTTGTACATCATCAAAAATGAATTCGCCAGAAAACATAATCCTTCTCTAAACCCATGCTTCTTATTTTATAGTTATCATTATTGGAGTTGCAAAACTAAGAATCTATTTTATTGGATTATCTGTAGATTTGTTTTCACATTACGTAATAATTTTATGTAGAACATAACTAAATCAGAACTGTGTACACCAAATAGAAATTAGAAAATGTTTGAGTAATAACACGAGGTTGAAATGGTTTTTAAATCAATTATAGTTTACTTTAGTGTATATCGGGAAACTTGGTATTACATTAAATACCATAGTCGTAGCGGTAAAATTTTTTGTACTCCCACTGATATTAACAAATGTTGGAAAAGCATAGTTTATTGTCGTTGTCACATTGCAATCTCCCATTAAATAAACAGTATGTTTAAATTGCGACTGCACAATAAAAAAGAATCACATTGTTATGGTGTAAAAAATAATGAAAAACAGAAAAATGGTTGAATACAGTGTTACATTGATTTCTTATATCATCAACATATCACCGTTGTATTCGAAGAATTATCTTGCTGCTTAAGCGTCGAATCAGTAGGCCAAATGTCAGGATTAACATAAATTATGTCTTTTCCATTGATGATCATTAGCTGAGTTACAATTTCATGAATTTCGTGAATGAATAAATAATTCCATTTTCCAGAAGTTTGGCAGGAATTCAATATGAATATTAAAACGTGAAATAATCGATCATGAATACATACGTCAGGTCAACAATTTGAATTCTAAGTCTAAAAGTGACATAAACTAACATTGTGTCACTACCACTCAGTGTTTTCGTTATCATAAAAGTCAAATATGTTTTTATTTGTAAATATCCTTATTACCTAACAATTTTACTACAAAGATACTTTATTTATTTCTTGTCTAATTCCAGGAAACACTAATAATTACGTTGCGAATTCCGGCCGAAAACATTAATCTATTCAAAAAACGTGTATCTCACCAAGATAAAAATGAATGACTCGGTCATTATATTATGACAGTTATAGTTACTACATTTCGTATCACCAGAAGATTAAATCGGCAAAATTACGAACACACTAGGATTCAAGGAATGGCTGATATTTACCATATCATCTCAGAATGTGATCACCACCAAACACCTGTAAAATAACTGAGCTCATTCTGATGTTTACTATATTCGTCTTCAGATTGGCACTTCACCTTTTGTTGTTCGACTGAACGGTGATTCTGATTAACTCTGGGACAGACGTTTACATTTGAGAGTAGTGAGAAATCCTCTCTGCACAATATATCAAAGCTACTGAGGATGTTTAGACAGTCACGTTGAAAGTGAATTCTAGGCCGTGTTAATTTTGATTGGATTTGAAATCTAAACTTAGACGTTTACATCAATTATTAACTTCACTTAAATCGGTTACTTATTTTTTCTGTTGTTTGTGACAAAAATTCATGTAACTTTGTTTCTTGAATTTTTTAAGTTTTTGATCGAAACTACTTAATGAATTCCATCAGATTACCATTAACAAATCGAAAATGGTTTTAATGCATTTTACTATAATTGTATAAGGGAGCAAGTATGTTTATTTTCAATTTTTATGTAAGAACACAATCTCGACACAGTTTTATTGGAACACAGTGTACAACAGAACACTTACTATTTTGTAGACTTACACAATAAAGATTTTGATTGATGAGACATGATGGGCCATAATCCACTCTCACATAACTGAAGAAAATAATTATAAATCATTAATTTTATGGTTTGTTTGTACATATTAGAGGAGTAATGGAGTAAGTTACCAATTAAATCGGTAAGCACAAAAGTCATGCTAATGATGAACAGAAATGTATTTTTTGGTATGGTGTCAACAGAGTAATGATATAGTCGATTACAGAAAAAGTGTGAACCAAATGTTCTCTCTCAGTTAAACTGTAATAATTAACAAAGACATTATCTCGAGATAGAATCACTATGAAATAATTCGCCATTTCAACTTTCTAGGCATATGTTTACGTTAAAAGCATTGAAATCTTGTTTCACTTAAATCATGAACTGAACAACGTAAGACCACCATTCAAAATCGAAATTTCCATTTCTCCCCAGTATGGGACTCCTCAACAGTTCGCTTTATGTGTACTGCATTCACGTTTTCAATGATGATCTAGCATTGATCAGTTCATGATTTTGATGAAATTCAGAAATCCCTACAACCATATACTGACATCGAAATCTTGTGATACACGTCATTTTAAAGACATACATATGTGATCATAGACGAGTAAATTTCTATTACTATTTTATCACATCAACCGGCTTATCACTTTCTCAGTTATTTCATAGCAACATTGGATAACTTTTAATATTCATCCGATCAGTTCCCTTAACAAATTTAAATGAAGCAAGAACTAAATTAAATGGATGATTTCATGAATTCATCAATGCATTTATACTGCTTCTTCTTCTTCCTCTGTATGAATGAACTAGTTTGGTGGTCTTCAATTATTGACATAATTTGAAATGTGAAAAAATGAATTGCTCTGATGCAAAAAATGGGCCAAATCGAATATAAGATTACTGACTCATAAGTAGTCTTAAACGGTGTATTAATAGATTGTTTTACTATTCATTGCCTTGTGAAAGTGAAGTGATAAATAACTTTCAGCAAAAGTATGAATATTTGGCGCACACAATTACAATGAAAATCAGGTTAAAGGTAAGTATTCAGCTCCAGCTGTTCAACTAAAACCATTTCTCGATTTACCAGTATAATTCTAATCTAGATCTTTTGAGTTTTTCTCATAATTTCACACAGTTCACTTTCGATCACTGAAAGTAGATGTGTACATTTATGGAACGCTAGTCTAGTTACAGTAGCATATGAAACAATTAATGAACAACGTAGGATTTAATCAATTTAAACTAACCTACGTTCAGATGTCAAATTTAAAGAGAACGAGGTTGATAACCACACATCTGGATTAACTTGTTGTACAACTACTTTTGTAACATTAAGAGCTGCAATACCATTAACCATTCTGTTGATCCAGTATGTAAAGAATGAACAACGTCTTTCAACCGGACACATATTCAATATAAATTCAAACGGTCCTCCAGTACACATTTGTTTGTATACATCAGTGGTACTTGGATAAGTTAAAGTCCAAGTATTTCCAGGGTTTGTGTTAAATGCCTATGTTTAAAAAATATCAAGACTGAAATTACCACGTTGTATGAAAAGAGTTTTGCAATTCACAAAAAATGTTTTACAATCCCGAATTTAAAAATTGCTTGGCAAAACCACAGATTAATATACAATTTCCTCACTCATACAATTATGTACTGTACTTATTCAATAGTATGTTTCTCAGCTTAGTATCTGGAAAAGAAAAACTGCATACACAACATGTTCAATTTCAACAAAAACATAGGATTAATGTATTCATAGATGTATATTCAACTGATATTTTAAATCAACATAAACGTGAATGTCAATTACTTACAATTTATTGGAATCATAAACCGATCGATGTTAGACCACAATTGAAAACCTGTTAGCACTGGATAGCCGTTTCGTCCTAAAATATGGGACTCCCAAGCAGTGCGTTTCCACGATCCTGCACGCGGGATGAATGCCTAACTTATACCAATACATGATATTGCGCGACCATCTTCCACTGTATTCTGTGAATAGCTGTCTCACACTCAACACGGTTAGACATTAACATTGTTGGATGCCCTCCTGGTGGTTTAGAGGATGAGCGTTCTCACGCGAGACAGAAAGTATGCGTGAAAGATCGTGGAGACGCACTGCTGAGGAGTTCAGTACTAGGACGGAATGATTGTCCAGTCCTTGCAGGTTTTCACATATAGTCTAACATTGATCGGTTAATAATTTCAAAAAACACTCAACAATCTCCACGACCTTATACTGATAATTACAATTAGTTAGGAAACAATGTCATGTATTCTAGCAAATAAATCCTAATTAGAACCAACTTTCAGACCAGTCAAAATTATGTGAAATTTCGGTTACAATCTCATTAATGAACTTAAGTTAACATGTCCATTTTCAATGTCATTTTTTGTAAAGTATATCCTCTAAAACTTGGAAACCGTTTTCACATCTTTTTTCGGATGAAAAAAATTCAATGGCATTTTTTTCAAAAACATTAACATAATCCACATAAATGGAATATAAGAGGAGATATAAAGTATTGTTTTAAAGAATGTCATCAAGTGTCAAGTACACTTTAATAGTGGTTTCAAATGTATCACCGATTAATTGTTTGCGATAACATTTTACTTTCATGAACATATAGTTTACAACTATGGAATGGCTAATTCTTTTGATCCCACTATTTTCACGTCATATGTTTCAAAACTAATAGTCAATACGTAAACAGTGTACAGTTGCATATAAATAATAGGTTAAAGTAAAGTGACCCAATTTAAATGAGCCACTTTTATGGAGAAAATGGCTTAAAATTTTTGAATTTTTTGCTTTGATATCGTTTTCCTTCATGGACTCATTAATATTATAGTAATTTATGTTAGAAAATCGCTATCTTTAATAGAACATATCTATTTGATGCAAAAAGTGTTATTGATGATTATGAATTAGTATGAAGATTAAAAGATGCATCTTTATCACATCATTAACCATCTTGAAGGTCCATGAAATGAGTAAACCTCTGTTTTGTAAAGTGATACATAGTAATGTTCTGATACACTGAATTAATTATCTTATTATAGAAGATCAGATAACTAGTTAGAATTTAGTTATGTCTTCCTCCTGAGTAACTCTTCCTGTTACAAATTAGTCCATTGTTTAGGAAACTAGGTGAAACCACTTGATGAAGAACTGATAGCGTATAGTTTGGAGGACAATCTCAGGTTTCCAGAAGTAACAAGTTAGGTTCATATGTCAGACATTTCACACTTCTGACGTTTGAATTTGTGAGTAAACATTTGAGACGAGTTATTGCACAAATCTTAGTTGTTAAACTGACGAGAACAAAATTATCATTTGCTATCACGAGACAGCATTGTACGCATGATGTGATGACGATAATTTCATGTTTCATATTCTGCTGAAATGCTACAGTAGGGCTGAAGTTAATATGGAAAAGACAACTGAGAATGTAAGAAAATGATTTAGCGTAATATTGGCGTATTCTGCTCAAATGATTGATAAACTTGTTAAACTTGTTACAATGTTGTCATGAAAAATAATGATCGTTCTCTGATGGATGGCTTATGTTTTGTTCTCATGTATGTTAGACTTATTAATTTGCATCTAATTGTGGTGAAAAATGAAATACAATTCATATTATATTCTGCCAGTTGTAGATTGAACCGAAAGAACAGCAGAAAAACTTAATAACCGAATTATCGGCCATTTCAAAAGATCCTCTAGTGTGAACAACGATTTTATGCCAGAATTCGGTACTGATTGTGTTTGACGAACTATCAGTATCTACTTACAACCACAGATAAGTGGTATCCTAAACTCTATCTTTTCATGAAAGACCTCAATAAAACTACAATATACATCAATAATATGGATAAAAGTTTTGTCGAGTCTACGTAACCTAAACATCAGGGTTTCTTTTAAAAAAAACACTAACCATTGATATTGTATACAGATTTCATTAAATAATGTAAATAAGTCAATTAACAAAATTATCTGAATGTAATTTCAAGCAGGTTGAATGAAAATGAGTACTCTGACTTACTGCTGGAGTAGTGGTAGTAAATATGAAGCTGCCAAATATAGAGATCGAATTAACTGTCAAATTGTAAGTGAAATTGACCAGTGGTCTGACAGAATTTGCAGTGAACATTGGGACATAGTAAGTTAACTGATTTGCTGCCGAAATCGTTTGATCGGTGGCAATTCCTATAAACGTAAAATATAAATTGACAGTCTAATTCTTATTAAGGCGAATTTGAATGCCTGAATTTTGACAATTATCAATCTATTACATCTACGTGGATCTACACAAGAAAACGTAGTTCTTATGGGATCGACAAACGACAATTTCATACGAAATAGATATAAATACACTTGACCTTCTATAAATATAACTTTCTTGAAGAGTTTTCAATCAGCTGAAGTGATATTTGTTTGAAAGAGTGTAGATTGTTTGATTGTAAAATCAAATATATTGATATTTGAGATAATCAGTTAGTCATGTTTGGGTATATTAGAATATTGTATTAAGTTGTAACATATCCACTAGGTTGGAAGAACGTTCGATAAACGAAAGAATTCCTCGTCAAATACTCTACTTTCAACTATGCACCAGCATATATGCATGCAAAATCTTCAGTCTGAAAACAATTAGTACCTGAAGTTGGATTTCACATTTATATTTTAAAGTGAGTATACAGTAAAGATATTCAGAATTTATCATAATTGTCAGAACAGATTATAATAATCAGTAAAATAACATGAGGTAACAAAAAAGTTTGTGCAAGCCTATGAAATCCATCTTCTTTATTTTCGTCTCAATTTTATTTTCTTGCATAGTGCTTGCACACAAACTATTTTTCTCCTCGTAGTATTTTACTGGCTAGACTATAATTTATTACAACCTTTGAACGAATCCTAAGTGACCTCGTGAAGTATTGACCAATCAGAAAACAGTGTAGAGCGAAGATATGTTATACAAAACCAAAGAATTAAAGTGGATACACTTCTTTTATATGGTTCAAAAATTTGTCAAGGTTAGAAAGAGGTTCTAAAGTCGTAATGCATACGATAGAGAAACTCATCCATATGGCTCCATAATAGTCGGCCTCTCGAGCCATGATATGGTCGTAAAAACGTTCAGCTTCGACCACATAGCTTCAGTATTATTCGTGTGTACGCCGGTTGTAGGGTCCACAAAATGGCGCTTGTGGATAACGACATGATGCACATAACCAAGTCTATGTAGGCATATGTACGCTTTTCAATCATCCGTATACATTGTGGTGCCTGGCTGCACATATTCCCGTATAATTGGTATTATCGTGGTTGCCTGTCAGTTTCTAACACGTTGGTAGAGTTTTTTTGGGATGATCTGTCGTCTATTCCAAGGACATATGAAGTATATTTATGGAAGTGCTACTTACCCAGTCTTCTTTAATACTATGTCCTCTGTTGAATTTTTATTTCCTAAATACTATTTCGTCCATTTCAACGATTGTCTCGACTCCCCCAAACGACTTGTGTAAGCTTGTCATTTTAATTAAACAAACATCTCGACAACACTCATAACATTAAACTGCTGAAGCTTTAGTAACATCTGCAAAGTTTTCAGCCAGTCTGACAGATGCTTTTATTATTTAATTCGCAACGATTATCAGGGTTCGCTTAGTCTCAATCGGGATCGAGCAAAAATAGTCCCTGTTCTAGCGGAATTCTTCCTCCAACATAAATAACATCGAGAGATAACCTCATCACGGTAGTCTGCGCACGGTACAGCAGTCATTCGATTACCCCAGTCGCAAATAAAGGAAATTCTTAGTGGTTCTATTTGTTGTAGCCGCTCAATTATTATGTCTTCTCTGAAATCCGCTATAAACCGGTCGCACGTGAACATGAGGTACTGAGTTTGGCTCTGTGACCTTCAACTCCCTCAAACGCTTCTGATTGGATCGTCCGTAAATTATAGTCTCGCCATGTCATGTACCGACTTAGCTGGACGATTTCAAATAAGTACTTAATTACTCACTTAACCTGCTACCCTTTATGGAGCGTTTGTTTTAGCATGATTAAGTGGCCGACCCCATACACGACCCTCTTTCTATTACCCAGGCTTGCGACTGACAATAACAATAAAAGAGCTAGCTACAGGTGGAGTTTCAAATATGTAGCCAGAGAGTAAATCTCCTGAATCTGCTTCCTACCACAAAACTATGAATAAAGTTTGTCCACAAGCCCAGATTCAAAAAAATTTTTTTATTAGCGATTTAAAGGTCTTTATTTCCTTATTCCAGGTCAAAAACATGAGGTAATCAGATCAATAACAAATTAAGAATGTCTTGGAATTTTGAACATGAAAACTTCTTTTCAAAGAGGCACGTTATTCGTAGTAGGTGGTGCGTTAGTCATAACACTATGACAATGATTAGTCAATACAGTTATTGTTACAAATATGACAAAAGTGGTATGAAATTTCCTAAGAATATCCACTTTAAGTACTGACTAAAACTGGATCTATTAGATCAGTTTTATGACTATTCATCATCATTTCAAATGAACCGTTGCTATGTTAAATCAAATAATAAATCTTTTAAGATTACCTAAAGTAGGTTGGTATAGTCACTCAATTGAAATCATAACAAAATTCAGATGACTAATATGAAAGTGCAAGCACGAAGATAGGAGTGTGCATATGTAGTAAGAACAGAAAAAAGTATACATTATTGAATATGTAATAACACATAAATCAGCTTGGAATCTGCCGTAACATTATCCGTTGGCCTTATTAAATACAGCGAAAAGGATTCATGTATAACCTTGTTCGCTAATAATAGTGTATTTGTAATCATATCAATACCGACCACTATAAATAAAACAGTGCAGTAAATGTTAACAAACCTTCGTAATAAGCTTTTTCTATATTGACATAAACCATATTTTCTAAAGAGTTCGAAACCATGCTGACATATGGCAATGATGTTGATTGGCTTAACATTATTGGCTTGACTAATATGTATTCTTGGTAGGCACCTGGAGCATAAAGTTGAAAATATATCGTCTGCCATACATTTGGTTTCAGAGTTAGCGTTAACTTCAGTGATGTTAAATAGTTCGGTATAACTTGATTTCTGACTGCTTTTGAATCAATTGAAATTAGATCAACTCCTGGAACCTGACTTGATGACTTAAAAAATAAACAAATGGAAATTCCTTTAATACACTGTAAAATGTGAATGTGTTATGAACTAAACACTTACAACTTACCCCTATAATCACGAATTAATAAACTCGATAAAATTACATTACTCTTCAGTGATTTCACTCAAAAAGAATTTTAAAATTTCCTGATGGATAGATGCATTAACTTGTCATGTAAGGCAATCAGAGAGTCTGGTTTGGTGTTCGAATTGGAAGTAAATCCTGATAGGATTAATCTACGAGTTGATCTAATGACGAATAGTATAAATTAATGAATTTTCACTAATAATTTACTAACATAGTGTGTACCATAAATGCTAGGTATCCAATATTCAATATAACTCTGATTTTGCTGGCTACTAAATCACCATGCATGAAAGTCATTTTCATACCTATCAAATTTTACTACACAACAAAGTGAACAACTTGTTTGAATGTCACTTCAACCTGTGTATGTGTATCACGTTGTGAAGATCATACTTGCTCTAACCAGTTACAAATATTTGTCTAAACCTAAATCACAGTCAGTAGTTTATGGTAGGGTTAACAAACTCTGAAGTAAAGTATAAAGCGAAATTCAATGCAATAAAATGTTGTTTCAAGTCATACCAACACAGTAGAATAGTTAGCTCGTGGAGTGATAGTTAATGTTTTCGTAAAACTGGATACACCAGAGGTAAATGTTGATGTGATTATTAAAGGCTTCGTGGTGATTGGAATTATCGAATAACGCATTGCAATATCACACTGAGCATCTGCACATGATTCATTGAAGTACACCGAATTTATTTGCAATCTAGCCAAATTACTTTGGTAATCGAGAAAAGAAAAGTAAAAGAAAAGGAAGAAAGATTTGTGAATATTTGTTGGAATTACAGAAATACTGTAGTGCATCTTCTAATTTGAAATTCATAGAGAGGATCATTACAGATGAAGCCCAAATTCAAACTAAGTTATGAATAAATTAATGATTACAAATTATCATAGTTGATTACTATAAACCAAAATTAATGAGAGGCGTTAAGTGTTATCAATGAAACTTCCAATGGTGTGAATTATTTTCTCCTGTTAATTCATTTAAATACAGTCCAGTGTGAAATTATTTTTGTAATGGTTGTTAGGGATGAGTTGCTGTTGCATTGAACTATTTTGATAATCACAGTAAGTTAGTGAGTAGAAAGTGCATAATTTCACCACATTCGTGCGTGTTTTGCCAAAAGTGTGAACAACAAATGTAGAAGTGGTTATTAGAGCTGGATTGGTTCAATTTTCATTTCATTCACGGTTTATCGAAATGATAGTAATATCTGGTTTATAAGCAAAGTTGGATAGTGGCTAGCAGTGGAATCCAGGACGCTCATTTCGTCCTATTTAGGACTCGTCAGCTGGATGTACCTGCATCTCAGAGTTGATGTTCACTGTGGGACTCGAACCCAGTACCGTTCGCTTCAAACTCCATCGTGTTATCCACTTAGCTACTGAGTCCTCAATAGGACGAAACGCGCGTCCTGGATTCCACTGCTAGCCACTATCCATCTTTGCTTATTATGCTTATGGATTAAGGCAAGAGCAAGACAATACGCACAGTGTGCACATATGCCATTGAGAGACTGATCAATAGCAATCCTAAACATCAAAGGGAAGATTCAAGGAAACTATGCCAAGTGAATAATAGGATGTTTTAATGGAAATCATATAGTATGTGCCAAGTTCTTTTTGTCTTTACTCAATTAACTTTTGAGAAACACTTAGTATAAAATCGTATATCATTAGGGATAATGACATGGCACCCTTTTTTTATTAATAATAATAATATTGATACGCCGAACGGGTTTGATCAACAGTGGTTCAGTTATGTTCAGTCTTTTCAACGTATATAAAGGATAACGGTCAGCATCATGGATACTACAACATTTATATATATAAATGAAAATTGAATATTAACTCGTTATAGATTACCTACATTTAGGTCCCTACTACAGTGACTGGTAATTGGATGTATGTGGCAATCTAGAACCCCTACACGTGTTGAATTCTTAACGAAAGTCTGGATTAACAAAAGGATATTAATATACAATTTCTATATACTGAGACTGAAAGTATCTTCTCAAATATCTAAATCTTGTCTATCGGAAAAATATAGAAATCAAATTTCAACTTCACTATAATCTAACACTCAGTGGATATTTCTGAAATGATGACTCATTAAAATATAATGCATTTCTTTGCACAGAAATCTACCGATGTGTGAAATGTCATTTGGAAAACTGATAAAACAAACTGACATAGAGTTCTGAATAATGAATTCAGATTTATTGACGAATTATGTAAGATAGTCTTCCAGGACAATCTCCAACTTTGAAGGTTTGATAGATATTATGTATTTCAACAAGTAATTCTGGTTTAAAATAGTGAATGATAGGTATTCATAGTTAGTTTAGCCTACGCTTGATGTCACGGAACTGGTTCATATCCGAATACTTGATTTTTTGTAACATTATACGTGAGTATATACACATATATATACATATATGATGATGATGATGATGATGATGATGATGATGATGATGATGATGATGATGATGATGATGATGATGATGATGATGATGATGATGATGATGATGATGATGATGATGATGATGATGATGATGATGATGATGATGATGATGATGATGATGATGATGATGATGATGATGATGATGATGATGATGATGATGATGATGATGATGATGATGATGATGATGATGATGATGATGATGATGATGATGATGATGATGATGATGATGATGATGATGATGATGATGATGATGATGATGATGATGATGATGATGATGATGATGATGATGATGATGATGATGATGATGATGATGATGATGATGATGATGATGATGATGATGATGATGATGATGATGATGATGATGATGATGATGATGATGATGATGATGATGATGATGATGATGATGATGATGATGATGATGATGATGATGATGATGATGATGATGATGATGATGATGATGATGATGATGATGATGATGATGATGATGATGAATTATGTATTCATATTTACATATACATAAGAATACGGTTGATAATCAAGCTTACGGTTTAACAGAAAAATCATAGCCCACAAGTGCTACAGATTTTAATAGATATCCAATTGTTTGAATACTTTGTCTGATTATTATTGCTTCATTCGTATTTACTTGTAGCTGAAAAGTTATTGGCATGTAGACAAAGTCTTCAACGAATTTCACTCGAACTTCTACAATTGTACTAAAGTTTACTGTTGGTTGTGAATTTCGTGGTTCGATTTTTTCAATAGTAACTACAGGAGTTTTAGAGACCTAATTTCAAATGGTGTTTGCAAATGATAACAAAAATAATTTATTGAATGCAAAATTGAGAGATTGATTACAATTGAAGTTTACATTTACATGTAGTTTATATTTGGGTTATAAGAATTCATCTGAAATGATTTGCAAGGAATAAAAAATGTTAGACAAAGATCATGACTGATGAATTTAGGTCTGATTTAAACGAAAAGTATTTGAGTAAATACGTCATCCAGATTTAGTTGAAAATTACCAGGAGCTAACGTGGCGTAGTACTATATTTCATGCTGCATTTATAATGCTGTGCAATTTAAACTGCTCCACTCTAAAACATTGATATTTTTGTATTTCATTTGCTAAAGTCTGTAACCACTAATTGTCTCGATATAAATCAACAATCACTAAGTTAAATATCGTAAAATAATCGGCCGTACCTTTTAATCCTAAACAAGAGATCTTGACTAAATCTGTGCCCCTTTAATTGGGTCCCTAAATAATTTCAGTGAAGCACATTAGTTCACTCACAGTCAGTTCAGTGACAGATAGATGAAGACTCAACACTAGATTATGATACAAAAAATCAACGTGAATTGGAAAATGGTGGTTGATGTGATTTGGGATTCGATGCAAAAATCAGTACATTCACAGAACGAATACTTTTCGAATTAATTTGCAGTAGTTTGGATTATTCCACTGTAGATTTTTTGACTGAATTCTGACTAGTCATAGTTGGTGTACGTGCATCCCATGCAGATCATTTTTTTATTGTGATTAAGTCACAATTATTTTAGGCAGAGTTGGAAGGTAGATATCAGTAGAACCCACGACTCTTGTTCATATTTGAACTAGTGTTTCATAAATTGGTAAAATATTTCCAGTATGACCCTGAAAACAAGTATAGAGCTCTGAATGTTAGATAACTTTATAGATCACTGAGGTAGTATAGTAGACTTACAAATGAGTTTAAGCTTTCATATACGCTTTCATATAAGCTTTCCTGTACTCTAGTATTGTTGTTCATAGGATGACTAGAACTCAGTACTTCGAACACACAACGCGTCACCCACTTAGCGTCTATGATCATATGTGCATAAGCGTCCTGGATTCTAATGATATCTACTGTCCAACTCTGCTTAAAACACTTGTGACTTAATCACAATATCGAAGTGATCTGGATATAATGCACGTAAACCACAAGAGACTGATCATTTGCTCTCGAACGTATCAATGAAAGGTTCATGTAAAAATACATATAAATTAGATCGATATATAAAAACATATTTGTCGTACATTGATAGATCAGGTTTTATTTGTAGAATATTGCTTAGATACATTAATAATAATAGGAAGTGTTTCGACTTAATTTACAATAGTTTGGATTATTCCACTGTAGACTTTCTGACTGAATTCTGACTAGTCATATTTGCTGCATGTGCATCCAATGCAGATCACTTTCATATTGTTGGAACAGCTTCCGAAAACTACGACTGAGCCTCCAGAGGCCCTAGAGAAGCCGAAGAGTTCCATCTAATCAGAATGTAATGGGGATTTCCAAAATATCAACGTGGCATGCTACTATTGACCAGTGGCATAACATGTTTATTCGCGGACTGGTTGAATTATAATGTTGATATAACAAGCGCTAAATACCCATGATTTTCTGTACATTTTGATTCTTGCCCATCAAGTACTTTCTCGAGTCTTCTTCTTCTTTCTTCTTATTTGCGACTTGGAGGGTTCTAGCGTTCGATTGTTCAAGTTATATGTGGTATATTAGGAATCTAAACTAGATATGACAACTGGTGACGGGATTTAATTATCAAAATGTCATTTACCTTCGACCAAGTTGAAGCCTTGTTTGGGTGTCAAGAAAAACGTTACGAACAGTTCCAGATTCATATTCTAGAAGCTCTAACTCAGCAAATGAACCTATATCAAAAGGGGCTCACAGATGATCCGTCTAAATCCCATGTTGACCACATCATCAATTCTATCCATGAATTTCATTTTGATGGTTTGGCTGTCGCTACATTTGAATCGTCACTCAAGAAATACAAAGATGTGTTCAGGGTCGACCTAGAAAAATTTGACGATGCCTCAAAGAACAGAGTACTGCTACGCAAACTTGGTACGGCTGGACATGAACGCTACACCAACTTCATTTTCCCTTAGAACCCCAGAGACTTCATTTGATCCAACGGTCTTAACTTTGTCGCGAATTTTCGGTTAACAGTCATCTTTGTTCAATATTCACTACCAATGTCTGAAGTTAGATAAAGCTGGAGACGATTACCGGGTGCAATATGCTGGCATAGTAAGCGTCTCCAATTATCAGCAATGACGGAAGTCTAGTTTAAGTGTCCTGTCTTGTATACAGCTTACAGTCGCTTGAAGATGTCGACGTCAGAACCGGAATTCTGAGTAAAATTGAACAGTGTGACTAGTGAATGTCGGACGTTGATGAACATAAAACATGACATATCTATGGTTGAAAACAGTGTCTGGCCACTATACGTGCAGCTAATAAATGGTCGGAAAGATTCTTTTGAACACACACAAGACAGCTCAAACAAACAACCTCCATCCTAGTGTTGGTTATGCGGTGAGTGGCACTACAAGAGGTTTTTCCCATATAAAAGCTATCGTTGTACTAAATGTCATCGTAAATGTCATAAAGAATCCAGCTACAGAAAAAGAACCCACCGTCGTTCTTCGAAAACCTATTTCAAAATATACAGATCTGGTGCGATAACTCACAAAATACTGGTATCTCAGACCAAAGCACGAATTTACCGTTGAAGAAAGTATGTAACTTCGGCTATTCATAAACAACGTACTCACCTTCGACTCGAAACAGCATCTGATATCACTCTCATCAGCCCAGAAACTCCAAGAAATAGTGGGAGTCCCACAGTTCATCCAACGACACAACTAACACAGTGCATCTGGTAGGACGTTAAATATTGCTGGAGAAGTACTCTGCACTGTTTCTAAAGTTAATATGACAACGAGTGTAGCAGTATACCTTACAAAGAATCCATCACTTGACTTGTTTGGATTAGATCTGATAAAGACACTACAACTAGCAGAGAATTTGACTGACAACATCTGCAGCTGGATCAGAACTGATAACCCCTTGGAGTGGAAGTAGAAAAGTGCTGTGCTACAAAGACACCACCACGTGTTTATAGAAGGATTGGGAGAATGTACGAAAGTCAAAGCAATACTAACCCTCAAAAATATTGTTTAGATGAATTAATAAATGAAAAACATAAATCAAGCTTACAGGAGTAGTGGGTATGGGTTGCTCCATAGACGTTATTGGAAGTATTGCTCTAACAATACATACAGTTAGTGATCCAGAAAACATCCGAACGTACGGTTGTATTGTATCACCCAAGACGTAGGTGGTATCATACAATAATTTCAATCTGATTTGGAAATTATAAAAAACATTCCATGGGTTATTGTTTCTAAATATACCGATTATCGTTGTGCCTGTTGTTCTTCGCCCTTGCAATACAGTGTATTCTGTTATTAGCCTGATCTGTAATGTAAGTAAAACAATCAAATTGAAAATACAATATCAAAACATTTATTAATGTCGAATTCTCCAATAGTGATGTGATGGTTCCTTTTTTATGAATATCAACTTTATTTACTTATTTATTATTTATTTGAACACATAAATATTGGTACAGGGGGGCACCAAATTTATATGCGCCACACAAAAGAATGGGAATTTAAGAAGGAAAAAAGTAAGGAACGTAGGGGATTATAAAATAAAAAAAGAACAATAATGGGGGGAGACGAAAAGGTACACTCAGAAGAAATCTCACATTTAAGGAGGATACGGCCACTTTTTATGAAGAAAGTAAAAGAAGGTTACAGCAGGATCGCCACTGGCTTCTATTCTGAGCCATATCTGATAACGTCTCTAGCCACTGTGTTACACCATCTCTCGGACCCCAGCCACGGAGTCGTGAAGGACCAACACAAGCCAGCCCTTTGAAGCTTTCTTTCATACCACGACACTATGTCATACACTGACCACCTCTCCGCTTTTTCCAACCAGTCCCAGGGTCGGCAAATAGTGCACGACGTGGAATTCTCTGAGACGACATTCGTAGAACATGTCCAAGCCACCGAAGTCGGTGTTTCAAGATGGTGACACCAATTGGATTGTCGTCTCTGTGCCCGAACACACGATGCCGAACCTCTGCATTACTAACATGGTGTTGCCACTGGATGTCAGCAATCCTTCGGAGACAGTGATTATCGGACACAGAGAGTCCTCTAACATTCTCAACTCGAAGAGGCCAGGTTTCACAAGCATAGAGCAAAACTGCTTATCACTCACGCCACCACCAGCACTTATGCAGCTACCCAGATACACGAACTCCTCGACTACTTATATCTGTTCACTACCCAGGGTGAGTACAGGATTAGAATCCTGCCAGTCTTGTAGAAGTACTTTGCACTTCGAAGGTGCAAAGCACATACCATACCTACGGGCATTGATTGCCGACTGATCAAGTGCGGATTGCATAGCTTGAACATTCTCGCACAGTAAGACAATATCATCCGCATACTCAAGGTCGAGAAGTCTTTCTCCAGGCAACAGATCCACACCACCATTACTTACATCCGTCAGAGCTGTTTCCAGAATGTCATCGATGGCAAAGTTGAAGAGGAATGGTGAGATTGTGCAACCCTGTCTAACCCCACTACTTGAAATGAACAATGGATAGAGGTGGTTGTATGCCCTCACTCTGCCTGAGGTGTTTGTGTATAGGGCTTTTAGGATGTTAATAAACTTCTCAGGCACACCCTTCTTCAATAGACAATCCCAGAGAACAGTCCTGTCCAACGGATCAAAGGCAGCCCTGATATCAAGAAACACTACGATTGTTGGCCTTTGATAAGTATGGCGGTGTTCTAACACTTGGCGGAGGGTGAAGATATGATCAATACATCCTCGACCAGAACGAAACCCAGCCTGCTTCTCGCGAGTCAATCCTTCTCGGGTTTTGAACAACCTACGAAGTATGACGGAAGCCAATAGCTTGGACTCAATCGGAAGTAGACTTATCCCTCGATAGTTGTTACAGGAACGACGTGAACCCTTTTTAAAGATAGGGACAACTATCGACTCATTCCATGACGTTGGTACACTCTCTAGTTCCCAGACCTTTGCAAACAACGTTGTCAGTCCCTTAGTCAGAAAGTCACCACCATCTTTGAAAGGGCCGGAGGCAAGTCGTCTGGGACCGGTGATATGTAACGTTTCAAGAGTTGGGGTTCCTTGCGGACTTCCGCCTCATTTGGTGGATCAGTCGTCAGCGGCCATGGATGGAAGGACAGTTTGACCGATGTTGCCGGAGCAGCAGGCCAGTTGAACTGCCCTTCGAAGAATTCTGCCCATCGTCCAAGACGTCGATGGATGTTAGTGATCGGCGTTCCGTCATCCTCGCAGATTGTTTCGCTCACACCAGACTTCTTGGTGCCAGTGGCTCGGATGAGTTGGAAGAGCTTCCGGTAATTACCAGATGCAGCTGCTGCTTCCAGCTCATTAGCACGCTCCGACCATCAGGCTTCTCGGTCCTTACACAAGCTTTGCCCGATTTCATTACGTAACATCCTTCGTCTGTGGTCAAACTCACAGTCACCCGGAGTAGACCGACGGGCTTCAATCAGTTGTAAGGAACCAGAATAAACTCAGTGCTTATAAGCGGGACGTTTCGCGAACCCACAACAGACTTGACCCGCCATTTTCACGGCGTCATGCAATTGAAACCAATGCTCATCTATACTTTTCGGTAGAATGGTAGCTAGCCTAGAAGCTAGCTCGGTTCGGTACTTGCTAGCAACAGAAGTTGCAACCCGCTTGCTAACATCAATCCTTTGGTGGCGGTCACTTCGTTGTCCACTGAAAAGTAAGGTAAGATTGGCGCAAACCAGAGCATGATCAGATTCCAGATAGGTACGCCAAAAGCAACGGCAGTCTTGTACACAACCGCGCCAGCAGTAGCTGATCGCGATGTGATCAATCTGGGTCCAGGCTTGAGATGCAGAAGGGGGACGCCAGGTGGCACATCGGCGATGACTGTGCCGAAAGTTAGTGCTAGCCAGAAACAGGTTGTAGTCTGTGCATATTTGCAGTAGACGTTCCCCATTATCTGTCCTGCGACCAACGAGTCCCCATCGGCCACCTAAACGACTCTCTTATGTGCCTAGACGCCCGACCTGAGCATTCAAGTCTCCGGCTAGTACTACAATATCTGTTGAACGCACTTTCTGGAGAAGAACAGTTAGCTGGTGGTAGAACTCGTCCTTGATTGCATCCGGGCTGAAGTCTGTCGGGGCATAGGCGGAGATGACGAAAAGACATAGTTTCTCACGCCGATTTCTTCTCACTTTGATAGAACTTTCTAATCTAACAGCACATAACCGACTGTTAATGAGGATCCAATCGATTAGTGCTGCTACAGCTCTTGTGCGATACCAACGCCAGCAAGACCAGACGAAGATGCCACAGGGTCCCCGGATAAACGCACGCAAAACAAGCTTTTTGAAGCGACAGATGGAGAGCGAATTTGTAGTACTTCACCAGAGTCTTGAATACGGGTCTCGGATAGACAACAAACGTCGATATTAAGACTTTCTACGGACGTAGCCAGCCCTATCTGTTGTCCGACCTGCATAAGTGTGCGAACGTTGAAGGCAGCCAGTTTGAATGGTGCGCGTGGTTTCAGAAAGACTGCTTCAGTACTCGTATTCGATGGTAACATACAATTTTCAACCAGGCAGTGACTCGAGAACGTTTAGATAGAGCCGAATGTCCACCATAGGCGAGCTGCTGTATAAGTGGAAAAATAAGGGAGGACAGAGTGGGAATAAAAATGAGTGAATAAATGACGTGGTAAATAATAATAATAATAATAATAATAATAATAATAATAATAATAATAATAATGTTAATTGTTTGACGATAAATCGCAGCGTGAACAGAGTTTTCAGAGAAGATCATCATTTTCATATCAACGGAATCAATAGGATACCGTTTAACATCACAGAGTAAGAAAAATCTATACTTTATACCTGACTTCGAGAGAAAGATTACTGCTCAACTTCCAACAATCAAACTAGTAAGAAGTAATATAAACAAAACACTACACATATACGACATTTATTGTAATGACAAGATACTTTACAATGTTCAGTCATGTGACAAATACTTTTTCGGGTTGAATCAATTATATGTACATAACTCAATGTAACTGATCCTGTGAAAATGGATGCACAACTAAGTAAATGATGGAATAAATATATTGAAAATCCATTACTGTCTCATATGATGAATACAGCACAAAATCAACAGCGTTCACCATCAGATAAATAGAACTAATGACTACTGTAAGGAGTTAGCTTTTGCATTCAATAAGCATAGCAGAGAGAATAACCAACAACACTCTTTTCGTTTGATAAACTGCATCTAGGAATCATTGATCAAGGGAATGTCTAAATAATTTTAACTATTTAGAGTTTCCATAGATCAGTGAATACTGAATTAATAAACTGGTTGAAAGTCATGTCAAACAGAAGTCAAAATATTAAAAGTAGAAAGCTTTATTGTTAAGGACTATACAAATGTATGAAAATGGTATAACCGTAGTTCATGTTACATGCAACATGTAGCAACTACGTATGGAAATACAATTAGACATGTATTATCAGTGGAAACTTGTCCATAATTATACGAAGCGTAGTAAAATATGGAACAATGAATTCCTGATCTGTATATTATAGTCATCTCCCTATTCTTCTTTAACCCAGTGATCACTATGCAAACTCCTTTTGATATTTGAAATCTCCGATCATTACATGAAACAATGAATTTTATTGGTAATGAAGAAGTATTCCTATTTATCAAGCAGACACACAACTGAATGTCTCACTCCAAATTCATTGAAGTCTTTATTTTAATCTTAGTAAGAAAGTGTTCGAGTAAATTATACATGAAGCTCAATATCTGATTGAACTTCTAATCAAAGTGCACAGAATGAAAATTCTCTATTAGCCGTTATCTCATTGTAATGAAGGATCTTTGATGTCTGTATATAATTAGTGGATGTGTTAATCAGTAATTAATTAGATATTCTCCGAACATGTTTCTGGGTAATAGTTATAGTACAATGACGAGATAAGTTTGTTGATTCAAATGATTTTGATTTTAGACAAGTTCATAGAAACGGACTAAATTGTTTAATGACATTCATTGGTGTAATTAATTTACAAAATAATTAATTAGTTACGGATAAGCAGAAATAATATAAAATATTTGTCTACAATGAACATTGAGAAGTGATGTCCGATGGGGGGGGGGAACTGTTAATTGAGAAACTAAATTGTCAAGATAATTATAACTGTTATTCTTAATTAGGTTAATTATAATGTGCGAGTCGATATTCTACTTTATCTGACTGTTGTACTCAAACAATGGCAAGTCACATAGATTTGTTATCAGGGAAAATATGAATAAAATCG